AGTCCATCCTGGGAGGAGGCGGGTGCAAGGGACTCTGTCTCCTGCTCTCCCTCCCCCCCGACACCCTGTCCTCTTTCCCCCACTGTCACCCTGCCCCAGCACCCACTAGCACCTTTCCCCAGTACCATGTCCCCTGCTCCACAGTTGGGGCAACATTAGTGAAGCTTGGCGGGTTTTGGAGAAGTTATTTTTTTACATCTCACCCATCCTGGGAGGAGGCGGGTGCAAGGGACTCTGTCTCCTGCTCTCCCTCCCCCCCGACACCCTGTCCTCTTTCCCCCACTGTCACCCTGCCCCAGCACCCACTAGCACCTTTCCCCAGTACCATGTCCCCTGCTCCACAGTTGGGGCAACATTAGTGAAGCTTGGCGGGTTTTGGAGAAGTTATTTTTTTACATCTCACTTATGTAACCCCAACTGACTTTTCTGTGGGTCAGTGATCCCTGACTCAAAACAGGTTCCCCGCCCTTCTCATAAATAAAGACAATGCAGAAACTTTTTCTGTTTGACATAGTATTTTATTTAAAAATGAAGCCTGGCCAACAAACCCCCATTTGGCCACAGCATCATAACACTCCTGCACCCCTCTTTCCCCCAAACCCTAGATCTGAGCCTATCATACATTGGAACCCCTTGCCTTGAGCCCCTCTCATACCCCAACCCAAATTCCTACACCCTCACACCCGCAAGCCCGTGGCTTGCTTAGTACCCCAACCCTCCATCTGACCCCATCACTGCCCAGCCTGGAGTCCCCTCCCCGAGCTAGCATCCTCTTCTTCACCTCTTCCTTCATCCAGATTTCCTCCCAGAGCTTGCACCTCTCACCCCTTCCCACCCCCAAATCCCTCATTCCCACCCCAGAGCCTACACATCCTGTCTCAACGTAGCGAGAGTACAGCTAGACTGCAGGAGTTTTTCAGGATACCAGAGATATCCCAAGAAAAAACTCTTCTGCATCCAGGGATGCGTTTGCTCTTCACTAAGAAAAAGAGAAGAACAAACATGCTCTTTTGGTAACCCCTGTATTCCTCTTTCCATGATGAATAAGGGGGCTTACAAAAGAAGGGGTTTTTATGACATTTGGTCCAGTCTAGACAGGCCAAATGTTGGAAAAACCTCTTCCTACAGAAGAATTTAAAAAAAAAGAAAGCAGCAGTATAAGAGTTGGGGATAGCAAGTGATGGAGAGGAGGAGAATAGAGAGGGTGGGGCTTCAAGGAAGGGGTGGGGTCTTGGCTTGTTCTGTCATTTAAAAAGTGATCTTGGGTGTACAAAGGTTGGAGACCACTGGCATAGAGAGTATGCTTATTAAGTTTGCAGATGATACCAAGCTGGGAGAGGTTGCAACTGCCTTGCAGGATAAGGTCATAATTCAAAATGATCTGGACAAACTGGAGAAATGATCTGAGGTAAACAGGATGAAGTTTAATAAGGACAAATGCAAAGTACTCCACTTAGGAAGGAACAATCCATTTCACACATACAGAATGGGAAGTGACTGTCTAGAAAGGAGTACTGCAGAAAGAGATCTAGGGATCATAGAGTACCACAAGGTAAATATGAGTCAACAATGTGACACTTGCAAAAAAAAGCAAACATGATTCTGGGTTGCTTTAAAAGGAGTGTTGTGAACAAGATACAAGAAGTCATTTTTCTGCTCTACCCTGCACTGATTAGGCCTCAATTAGAGTATTGTGTTCAGTTCTGGGCACCACATTTTAAGAAAGATGTGGAGAAATTGGACAAGAAGAGAAGAGGAAAAAAAAGATTAAAGGTCTAGAAAACATCAACCAAGAGGGAAGGCTGAAGGGTGTCAGGGAAGGAGGGCGGGGAATTGTTCTCCTTGGCCTCTGATGATAGAACAAGAAGCAATGGGCTTAAACTGCAGCAAAAGAAGTTTAGGTTGGACATTAGGAAAATCTTCCTAACTGTCAGGGTAGTTAAACAGTTGCGGGAACCTCTATCACTGGAGATATTTAAGCGCAGGTTAGACAGACATTTATCAAGGATGATCTAGATGGTTTTTGGTACTGCCGTGAGGGCGGGGAACTGGATTTGATCTCTCAAAGTCCCTTCTAGTTTTAGTATTCTATAAATATAAATACGATCACATTTTCTTTGTGTCTTACAAATTTTCGTTCGCTTAGTGCATGAACACCTTCTAAAGAGAGAGTTAAGACTTCCTTTGCACACAATATAATTCAAATTTTATGCATAATTTATAAAAATGTCTAGATTACATAACCTTTAATTATCCTGCATTTCCACGGAGAGTGGGAAGTGGAGTATTTTTCTATATTTCATATTAAGATTTCAGTTTTGACTCATGCAGTTAGACAAAAATCTTTTTGCTGTTCTCATGTAAAGCTACAATAAAAAAATTATTCTAACATGAAACATTGAATTTCTGTAAGATAATTATGTAAAATAAAGTAGTACTTAAACCACTGAAACCTAAGTTCTGTATGTAAATTTTCCAACCAAATATTTTATTGTGAACTTCAAGTATTATGTGAACTTCAGGAATACAAACAGTTTACTCAGGTACTTTGTGTAAAATTGATTTGCATTATTAGAACTTTCCAACTGGAAATATCAATTGGGTTATATCACAGCCATAATCTGATTAATGATGAAATAATGCTTATTCCCCTGAAGATGATGATTGTGCATCACATGGCAGAAAGTGGGCATTTTGTGGAAGTCTGATTTCATTTTTTTCTGAATTATACACATCTGTATAATCAACAGCAGTATAAATTAAAACATATTAATACAAAGCGACTATCAACTCAGAATAAAATGTAGCCAGATTTTAACTATACTATTAAATTTATTCACCTGAAATGTCCTAGTTTCTTAGTTTGTTGTCGTCTTTTAATCCTGTAATACTGGCACAGGTTGGACCTCTCTGGGCCGGCACCTTTGGGACCTGAGCTGTCCTGAACCAGGAAGTTTGCCAGACCAGAGGAGGTCAGAGCTCCTCTTCTGGATGCCTGATTCTGGGCTCCTCTCCTTAGAGCTCCCTGCTCTGACCTCTCTAATGGTGGCCTGGCAGGTGCTCCTCACACTGCTGCCCACAGGCTGCCTCAAGTCCCTCGGGGTTCCCAACTGGGACCATCTAGCCACTGCAGCCCCGTTGCCGCAGCGTGTTCCCCAAGGTAGCATGGAAGAGGCCACACAGCTACCCTACCCCCTCTGCTAGGGCTAGCCCTGTTGCAGCCTACGATTCCCTGGGGTTCCCAAGCAGGGCCACCTGCTTCTGCCAGCCCTGGTTCAGCCAGGGCATTCTTGGCTGGCGCTGCCCAGTCACTCCAGCCCCGCTGCCACCAGGGTTTCCTCCTGCTGCTGGAGGTTCCCCAGCAGGGTCTCCCATCACCATCAGCCCCTTTGCAGCTGAGGCTTCCGCACCTGGGGGCTCCTCAGCTGGAACCAGGACTCCCCAGCTACCTGGTCCAGCTGAAGCTGAGGATTCCTCTGCAGGGGCTTCCCAACCACTCCTGTCCCTGTTGATGTTGGGGATTCCCTGGTCAGGTCGGGCTCCCCAGCTGCTGTCTGGCACAGATGCTGTTGGTCCAGTTTGAGCTTCCCAGCTCCCACATTTTCTCCTACTGCCACCTTCAGTGCTTTTTGGTCAAGCAACATCCGTGGCCCTTCTGCACTATAGATGTTGCTGGACCAGAGAGTCCCGGATTTGGGAAGTTCAATCTATAGTCCCTTCATCTTCATATGTATGTTTGAATATATAATAATAATACATTGCAATTTTAATAGCATATTAAATATTTTAAGCACATGTTTAGTACTAGAAATGTTTTTATTCCAGAGGGTTTTTTAAATTTTACAGTTACTAGCAGGAATATTTAGTAGTAAGAGTTCATCCATAGGTGTATGTTATAAAAATCATCTTGCAAAGTGACTTTTAAAAGTCCAAAAATCTAGTTGAGTGCACTAGCATTTCTTTTTTTGGAGATGTCTAGATCACAGATGAGCTTGGTTATCTTAGTCTTACCCAAAATGTTCACATGCAACCATGGAACCTTGTTAAAATTCACGTAAAGGTTGAGGTATATCACCAGTTATATAAGGACTCTGTCATAGTACCTCTCTCTCTCTCAGCCCTTATTTCTGAATATTCTTCTTGATTTATGAATTCTGAGCATGAGCAAAAACTACTTACATCAGTAATTGTTGCAAGATTGACCTGTATAGGTGGGGTGCTATCTCTCGAAATATCCAACACCCGAACAGTAAAGACAAAGTGAACACTAATATCCTCTTATCAAGTAATGCAATCGTTAATGTACAAATGCTCACATTTTTTTGAAGTTCTGAATTGAACACAAGCTGCAGCATGAGATTAAGGCGAGAGATTTTGAGTCCATATAGACAAACCTACATTTAGTAACTAACATAGGCGTCCTGCTATTTAGAGTAGCTTTTGCTACAGGCTGCACTTTTGATAAAATGAAAGCCCGTTTACGAGTTCTGTTTTTTGTAGTAAATACATTTTTCTAAATCTTAAAGGATGAGATAATATGCTAAAGAGTAACTACTAAATTATTGCATACAATAATACCATTTCTAATACAATACCATATGTGTGAGGGCAATGAACAAAACAAGAAGAGGATCTTTTTATGTTGTGGAAAATACTGGTAACTTTTTCAAAATCCATTTCAATCCTATGCTCTTTCTCTTACTGTATCTGGAAGATTGTCACTTTATTACAAGGATTGCTAGCATCATCATAGAAGGAATATATTATCCAATATAGGAGATATATCTTTTGGAGCAATTAAAACAATAATTTTATGCCAGTGGTTATGCAGTTTCATTCAAACATTTTCCCCAGATTTTAGCCCAGTTAACAAGGGTCAGGAAAGAGAACTTTAGAAAAGTTGCTCTTTCATTTGTCCTTTCATATATTTTAAAATAAGTTTAATTTAATTGTAGTCACATAATAACCTTTTAACGTTATGAATTTAAACAGTATTTAAAATAGAAAAAAATATATCATAATAAATAATCAGTTAACATTGTAGTTACAATCCTGCTACTTGGGTGAATTGATTAACCCTTGTAGCTTTTGATGTGGAGGTTTTATTTCTCAGGTGGGGGGTCAATAAAGAGAAAATTGCATCTGAATCATAATTTAAGACCTCCCATGTAATGTTTTTTTTTAAAAAAAATGAATTTCTGCAGGTACATAATATGTTATTTAATTATATGGATCCATATTGTGCTATCTTCATAAAACTGTTAAAGTTAGGAAGTTGTATATTTTGGCAAATGTTATCAGTGTAGGAGATACCATTTGTTGTTTTACTCTTATAACATATAATTTCTAAGTATTTTGAAGCCTCTTCATTTTTTTTAAAGGTAGTGCATAGAGACCTTAAACCGAGTAATATTTTATATATGGATGACTCAAGTAATGCTGACTCTATCAGGATTTGTGATTTTGGATTTGCAAAACAACTTCGTGGAGAGAATGGACTTCTTTTAACCCCTTGCTACACTGCCAACTTTGTAGCACCAGAGGTATTTTCAGCCATTTAATATATTGATTTTATTTGTACTGTTCTGACTCATGAAGAAACCATGTTCTGTCATCATATGGGCATGTTTTTCATGCCTTTTAGTAGAAAAATGTTTCATTATTTGGACTAGTTTCCCCTAAATTTAGCTATAAATGTCATTCATGCTCTGTAAATAAGTTTTCACAATGGCTTTTATTTAACACAGATAATATGTTCTCTTCCAAATGAAATCATGCTTTTAAATTCCAAAGGAATTTGTCTCAAATTTGTTTCCTAGTTTAATGAGCTAAAATTAACTAGACATTCTCTCCTTGTTTTATAACCAACATTTAGATCCTTTTTTGTCCTACGAGATACTGGTTTGATATTGTCTATGTTGTGGGCTAATTTGTGAACTCCTTTCTTTCTTTCTTTTAGTATTAATTGCAATTTGCCAAAACCTTTAGAAGTTATTGTTTCCCTGAAATGGCTTTTACACTTTTAAAAAGGAAACGTCCTGTCTTGACAATGTTCTAGTTATGTTTCCAGAGTGGTGATCTTGAATATTGCCGCACTATGTCTTAAAAGGATTGGTTCCAAATAAATTCAAGAGACTAAAATTTCCTCTTGATATCTTCCCAATTACAACTTCAGTATTTTTATCTTTCTTGTAAATATTTGTGAAGCATTTAAAGTACTTGTCTTTCCCCCCTCATTTTCTGCATTTGTTTTTTTAGAGACAGTGTTGCTTGTATTGTACATGTTAAGATTGCATGACTGAGCCAAGAGCATCTAGTACCACAGTGGCATTTTAAAGGGAACACTGTCTTTTAGAGAATGAAAAATGTTACAGTAGAAGAAATGTAAAACATTTTCCTTTTATATCTGTCCCTAAAGCTCACTGGGATACAGTACTGCAGATCTTAATTGTGACATTTTTTACATTGGAGTTTTCCATGATTAAGGACAGTAGAATTATGTTTTTGTGTTTCCAGTATAATACGGTCAACATATTTGTGCTGATGATCTCAAGGAATGACTCAGACCTAATAAAATGGTGGCAGTGGCCCTAGTAGGAAAACACAAGAATGTTTTCAAAACATTTATATTTGTGTATTTGCCATTTTTCTGTTTTATTTGCTCTTAAGCAATAATGTTAGGATTGACTTGCCCTCTACTGTAGTGTTCTACATGCAGCAAATAAAACTTTAATGGGTCTTTATTTTATAGGTTCTCATGAGACAGGGATATGATGCTGCTTGTGACATCTGGAGCTTAGGAGTACTCCTTTACACAATGCTTGCAGGGTAAGATTTTTTCCACCTTTCAGGTGTCATTTTTCCTTGAATTATTAGTATTTTGTGTATACGCACACTGTGCTATGCCAGCTGCCTTGAGATTGACTAGACATGATGAAGAATTGAGAAATTCTGGATTTTATTATCACTTTGAAGGAAAAATCTCCTTTTTTTTCCCCCTACATGAAACAAACTTTGTACAGTATCAGGCATTGTGGCATGCTGAATAGCAGTCTTCAGATACCTGGGTTGCAATCCATATAATTTTAATAGAATTCTTTCATTATTCAATAGTGTTTTTCATATATTAACATTTAAAATAACTTATAGAAATTCTCAATCTAGAATCAATTAGTTGCTATCAATGTAATTATGCTCCTGTCTGAAAAATTGTACCAACTATTGTTGTAACTAGTATCCAAGATAACTATAACTAGTCTGTATAGCTAGTTAGCCTGGTCTGTATCTTTTTATATAGGAAAGGACAGCTGTTGTTTTTTAAAATGCAAAATACTAAATTTGGCAGTGATATCTAGGGTCACATACATAACTGTTTTTCTGATCAGAAAGTGTCTGATGTCCCTTTAAGGATTTTCATGTTGATACAAAAATCATATATTACAGGGGTGTCGGTCATTACCTTAGATCAGGCGTATGCAAGTAACACCCCGCTGGCCTCATCAAATTGGCCAGCATTAGCCCCTGACAGGCCCCCACTCTGCCATATTTACCTGTATCTCCACAGGTATGGGATATCACAGCTCAGGTTGGCTGCAGATCACTAATCCGGACCAATGGGAGCTGAGATCACCCATACCTGTAGAGGTGCAGGTAAACATAGTTGCAGTGGCCCACCAGGAACAAATCCTGGAGAACCACCACCATTTTATTGCCCACCCCTGCCTTAGATGGATTTTGAACTCTTAAGTCATAACATTCTGGATAAAATGAATTTTTACTTGCTCTTTTTAGCAGCATCCAAATGTAAAAACTTCAACAGAAATTGTATCCTTTTCATATCAAATAAGAAATTAAGTTTGAGATTTAAAGGAAGGCTTTCAGAAAATAATGGTCCTAAAGATTAAGGATATAATACAGCAGGTAGTTGACTAAATTTTAGCAGCAAATTCTGATTTATAGATTCATATCATTTCTTTGAATTAGTATCCATACATATTTTTACTTAATTCATTAATGTGAATTTAAAAAAGATAAATGTTTATATTGTGACCCTACTGACAATGTGGGTAATTAATATTTTTAGAAATTGTGAAGTCATATCCTATTTAGCACACATTTTATCTAGCTTCAGCCTTAGAAGTTTTGCAGATCAGGCTTTCTTACTGTCTTTTAATGTCTGCCTTGTAGAAAGTGAAAGGTTAACCCTTTAATCTGGTTCTGGGCAGGGGGCTGCTTTTTAACCCCATGGGGGAGGAGGGTTGCCGCAGACCAAGGGCTGTTCCAGCTGTTTGTAGCAGGCACAAGTGCCCTCAGATATGGGCTTCCCTGGCATCCAGAGCAGCCTCTGTCCGCAGTGGCGAGGTGGGGTTGCTCCAGCTCAGCCTCAGCCCCTCTCGTGCCCCCTTTCATTAGTGTTTAAGTGGTTAACCAATAATGTATAACTGGTTAACTAATTAAACAATAATTTACATCCCTACTGTCTTGCATGTAAGGGTACGTCTAGACTACATGCCTCTGGCGACAGAGGCATGTAGATTAGGCTACCGGACATAGTAAAATGAAGCGTCGATTTAAATAATCGCCGCTTCATTTAAATTTACATGGCTGCCGCGCTGAGCCGACAAACAGCTGATCTGGATCATTAGTGACACTAACTTTCAAGAATGAACAGAGAAAAGCTTTGACATGTTGTCATAACATTCCTGGACAAAAGTCCCCACCGTATTTTACTGAAATTTGAGATGCGTAAATTTTGTACATGCGTTTAGAGTATAAATTGGTGGTCAGAGCTTTAATGCCCAGTGACTTCTATTGGCACAAATAAAATGCTGTAGCTCCCATTTGCTTCTTTAACTTGTATTTGTGGTCCTGGTACAGGTTGGACCTCTCTCTTCCGAGACTCTCTGGTCCAGTAACATCCATGGTCTGGCAGGACCCCAGATGTTGAGAGCAGCTGGGAGCTGATCCCGTCTGGTCTTCAGCAGCCTGCAGGGGCAGTGACCTGGGGTTGGAAAGACCCAGGGAGAGCTGCCAGCTGCTTCCAATGTTCCCCAGCCCCGAGTAGTGGCAGCTGCTCCTGGGGCTCCCTGTCCCTCACATTCTCTGGGCTACAAAAAGAACTTACTAGGCTACCTACATGTGATTTATAATTATTAATTTTATTTTTTCTGTGTGCTGAACAGTTGGATTAATGGTTAATAAAGGATTTGATTTTGCACGCAGAGACTATTACAACTTTCTAAAAGGTTCTGAAAAATATTTTTCTGTAATTTGAAATGAGAGCCTCCCAAATTTGTTACAGAAAAACCACATTAAGAATTTTCTAGAGTCTTATAAACAGTCTCAGTCACTTTTGAGAGGGGGGGTGAGGAACATTGTTTTGTCCTTCATAAATGGTGTAGATATATTTGTGGATACCATTAAGTGACTTCACTCAGTTAAAGTGTCGTGACCTTACATGAGGATATTTGTAGTCATTTCTATTTGGGAAACATTTCGATTTAATTGATGAGCTCTCTATGATAAGAATGTATAGCCTGCCAGCTATTGACCTTTAGCTGCTATGAGTCTTTGATCCACACTTAGTTTGATCCACTGAATAAGCCACTAAAATGAGTAAAAATAAGTTTTTAAAGATTTCAGATATTTACTAAAAATACATGAAAATGTAAGCACATAATATAATTGTAGCACCACAGCAGTGTTTCATAAGTATCTAGACAGAATAACACTGCTTTTTTAAGATTTGCTAACATCATGTTTCTTTATAGATTTCATATGTACATAATCCTTTCTTTGCTTGTAATTTTTTTAAATAGCTATACTCCTTTTGCCAATGGTCCCAATGATACTCCTGAGGAAATCCTATTACGAATAGGCAGTGGAAAATTCTCTTTAAGTGGAGGCAACTGGGACACTGTTTCAGATGCAGCAAAGGTGTAAATATATTTTATCTTCTATAGTAGCATCTAGGATACAAGCAAATATATTAAATTTGATCAGTTGACTGGTATAACTTAACTCTTAGCCATTATATTTTGGTATTTTGTCTATATGGAATCAGCTGTGTATTTTATGATTGTTTGATCTTTGATGGTGTGGGCAAATACTGGCCTGTAGGCTGCGTTTGGTCTGCCAGGGTTAGCCCCTCATGGGCCCTCACACTACTGTATTAACCTACTCCTCTGCAAGTATGGGGATCATAGCTCCCGTTGGCTGTAGATCATCATTCCTGGCCAATGAGAGCTGTGATCGCCCATACCTGCAGAGATGCTGGTAAATACAACATCAGTAGCCCACCAGGGGCTAACCCTGATGAACTGCTGCCATTTTATTGCCCACCCCGTGCTAACACTATAGCAAGAACTGCATTAACAAGGGCAGAATATTTTACAGTGCTTCAGAAAGCCCACATTTAAAACTTTTAAGTGCAGTGTACGAGAGGAAATGCAATGGTTTGAGAACTGTTCTACAACTTCTGTTTTTGAAGACTTTTTGCAGTCTTTGGAGGACAAGGATAACAATATCATAATTCGGGGCTATAGTCTGAGTTGTATTTCCTAAGGCCCCGGCTGATGTGGGATGATTATTGTGAGACAAATTAAATCTGGTTCTTGTTGAGTTGCGGCTACTTGATTCTTGCTTGACACTATCATGGATTCCAAATGTTTTATTGTATTAAACTACAAAATGAGAAATGTTAAACCAAGATTGCTACACAGGATGCTTTTGCTGAAAAGGCTGATGAAAAGCCAATTTCAGCAGAGAAATAATGATAGAAATGTAGCCGTGTTAGTCTGGGGTAGTTGAAGCAAAATGCAGGACAATAAGGTTTTTTTAATTGATTTTTAAAATTCACCCTAGCCTTAGAACATAAGAATGGCCATACTGAGTCAGACCAAAGGTCCATCTAGCCCAGTATCCTGTCTGCCGACAGTGGCCAATGCCAGATGCCCTAGAGGGAGTGAACAGAACAGGTATTCATGAAGTGATCCCTCTCCTGTCATCCATTTCCAGCCCGACAGAGACTATCAACACCATTCTTACCCATTTTGGTTAATAAGTATTGATGGACCTAACTTCCATGAATTTGTATAGTTCTTTTTTGATCCCTGTTAAAGTCCTGGTCTTTAATACATCCTCTGGCAAGGAGTTCCACAGGTTGTCTGTGCTCTGCATGAAGAAAAACTATCTTTTGTTTGTTTTAAATCTGCTACCTATTAATTTCATTTGGTGATCCCTAGTTCTTACGTTATGGGAATAATGTCACCTTCTAGTTTACAGAAGGTATTCCTGACTCTGTCAATATGGACACTAACTACTACTTACTACTAAGCTGTGTTCCATGGTATTTGCAATTTCGCAGGATGCTTTCTAGATATAACTTATAAACTGTAAGTTAAGCAATGTTTAAAAAGAATTGAGTGCTTTAAAGGATTAGTTGTACATGTATTTGAATTTCCTCATAATCTATCTTCAGGACATTGAGCAAAAAAATTTGAGTATTTTTAAAGTAGTTCCCTAAAATTAACCATCACCAAGCCTGTCAGTCAACTGACATAATTGCAGCTCAGGTTTCAGACTCAGACTTGTAAATGTGACTGTTCAGTTTCTTTGAAGAGTTATATTTTCCAATAAAAAGTTGGGAAGACTGCATCTGATAGTAACCAAGGCTGTGTCCAGACAGGTTTTTTCAAAAAAAGTAGCCTTTTTTCGAAAAAACTTCACCTGCATCTAGACTGCCGCTTTTCTTTCGACAGCGGTAAATCTCATTTCACGAGGAAGAACGCCTTTTTTCGAAAGTGGTCTTTCGAAAAAAGGCGTTCTTGAATGCCAACAGGGCTTTTTAGAAAGAGAGCATCCAGACTCACTTGCTGCTTTATTTCGAAAAAGCGGCTTGCTTTTTCGAAAGTACTGCTTGCAGTCTAGATGCTCTTTTTCGAAAAAGCCTCTTTTGAAAGAGGCTTGCAGTCTAGACATAGCCCAATAGAAAAACCAAGAGGAAAATACTCCAAGATAAATTAAAAACTTTGTTTCTTGTAAGTCCATAAAGGTTCATAAAAAGTAATATAGTTTTGTATGGCAATTCACATTTGACTCAAACAATGTGTGCATTTAGGTTTTGCTTGCCTTCTGGATTTTAACTAGAAAATTAAAATAGAATAATAGAATACTGCAGATGGAATTTGTCTCTTGCATGTTTCTGGTTTGGAGCAGACATTCTACTGCAGTGTTTACATCTCCTCTGTTTCCCATTGTGCTAGTGGGTGAAAATCAACAGTAGGAACTACAGTAATCTATTTTTAATCTCCTAGCTATGTGGATAGCAAAAGTAATCACACAGTTTCAGGTAAAAAGTAGACTATCTTGTAAATCTTCCATTCTTAATAAACTAAAATGGAGATAGTGTAATAGTTATAAGTAATCTGACTCTTTAGTAGGTTAATAGACTTTAAAGCTAGAAAGAGACCATTATTGAGTTAATCTTTCTTAATTTAAGTGGTAGCATTTCCCCCATAATGCCCACATCAAGCCCATAGCTCATAGCATATCTTTATCTAGATTAAAGACTATTCCATTAGCTCATTATCCTCACTTAGTACAAATATGACTGGAGGTTGAAGATAGACAAACTCAGATTAGAAATAAATGTTATTTTACATGAGAATAAAACAGTCAAATACAATACACAAGTATAAGTATACTATGTCAGCATGGTTACGTTTATCAATCCAATTTATAATTTAATCAAAAATTATATCAAATTTGTTTGACACCATTTCCCATCAAATATTGCTGACTGGCACTAATATTCCACTATGTTATTCTTTAATGAATGCTCCTTTATTAGCCTGTCCCTGATGTTTTGCAAGGATCAGTGTTGTCCTATAATTATCCAAGTCATTAAGTTTACTCTTAAATTTTGACACAACATTAGCCTTTTCCCAGACATCTGGAACTTTCTTAGTAATTCAGGACTTATTAAAAACCAACATCAGTGGTTGAGAGAGATCTTTGGACAGTTCTTTTAAAACTCAGGTAAAAATTATGTTTTAGAATATTGAACTATAGTAGCAGTTTAACATTACCCTAGTTACTGCTGGAAAAGAAAAATATTTAATCACTGAGAGGTGTGAAAGCATCATACAGCATCTTTTGTTCTTGATATATATATTTTTAAATGCCTTATATTGTCCTTACTCCTATTGGCCAGTAATCCTTCTTTGTTGTTTTCCTTCCACCTATTAATGTCTTAATTAATCTGTTCCCTGGTGAACATTGCAATTATGTATTAATTTAAAGTAGCTCTTTCCTAATACTCAAAACAAAGAAAAGCCAAATGTACATTTCTGGTCGATTTCATTCTTCAAATTGATACCTTGAGGTAGAAGTACTTCAGAGGCGAATATCACAATGCATATTTGAATTTTAGATTTGCAGCTGATAGTCCACAACATTATATAGTAGAAATAAGGCACATCTGCCAGTAGAAAAAAAAATGCATGCTAGGAAAATGGGTTGCTTATTCTAGATTAGTACTAGCTATTTCTGCCTTTGTTTTTAAAGATGACTGGATTTATAAGCAAATATGGAAATTCTTGTGAGGCTTTATTTAGAATGAAAGCTCACTCTGTTAAAAGACTTCATAGTAGCTGCATATACTGTCACACATTGTATTCAGACATTTGAAGTCTCAAGATACAGAATGCCCCACTTCAGCTGTTGATTTTCTTGTTTAGTGTCTCTTATTAGATCCTTCCAGACGCATTACATTTTTTTAACATGTTAGTTATTAATACTAGCTTTCCAGCACTTTATATTGGGATGTAACAACTATATCTGTATTTTTTTATTTTAATCTAGGACTTGCTGTCCCATATGCTTCATGTAGATCCACATCAACGATATACAGCAGAGCAAGTATTAAAACACTCGTGGATAGCCTGTAGGGACCAGTTGCCTCATTATCAACTAAACAGACAAGATGCACCACATCTAGTTAAGGTAAAACGAGTCTTCCATGTCAATACTTGTGAGAATAACATTTGAGAGAGAAGCAACCTTTTTGTGACTCTACTAATAATCAGCCTAAATTCCAAAACTGTGGAACCGGCCACTTTCAGAGCTAAACACTGAACACCTTTCTTAGAATTACAGTTCTGACTTAACAAAATGCACCTACTCACTCCTACACATGTGAACAAAATATTGACAGACAAATCAAGGTTTTTTTTCTTAGGGACTGAGAGAAAAGACTGTTGATGTTCTTTCTGTTTTTAAATACTAGAGTAATAAGGGCAATATGTGTACCCAGATGGAGAATTTGGCCAGTTTCTAAGGAGATGTCCATACTTCAAGCTGGAATTTACACTTCCAGCGTGAAAAGAAATGCCTTGTGTTAGCTTTGATCAAGCCAGTGTGTTAAAAATAGTGTAGTTATGGCAATATGAGGGCTAAGAGCTAACACTCTGAATATATGTACCTAGCATCTCAGACAGGATTGGTTAGCCCCTTCTAGTGCTTCTGCTGCCGCAGCTAGGTTCCTATTTTTAGTATGTTAGCTTAATTGGAACTAGTGAAGGTATGTCTCCTCAAGCTGGAATGTACATCGCTAACTTGAAATGTATCCTAAGCATCCGTATATAGACAAATTACGTTTCATAGCCTATGATCAATATTTTCTTCCAGTGTGCTTTTATTGGGCATACTTAAATAAAATAGTGGGTGTTGTTGCAAATGTTCAGATGTTTCCTAGAAACAATTAAAATTCAAAAATTAGAACAGAATTATGTAACTTTTGTTCTATTTACTGAGATTATTTAAATATAATCTGTAAGATATAGAATATGTTCTTTTGAAAGTGCAAAAATAAAAATGAGTCTAAATTCTGGACTGATATGTCCGAGTGTAGTTCCTCCAACTTCAGAGGCATGTAGATTGCCCGCCTGGAGACCCAAGTTCAAGAGCAAGGGCCTACTTGTTAATTCTTCTTCGTATAGTGTCCCTATGGGTGCTCTACTGTAGGGGAGGGGGGGGTGTGCTGCTGCATCTCTAATCAGAGCTTTTTGGTAGCAGTGTCCATTGAGTCCGCTCATGTGCTCTTCCTCCCTGGAGAGCTGCCTCAAGGCTATAAAGTCCCTCAGATCTCAACTGCTTTTGGCCTCACAGGGGAGAGCAGTTGTCAGTTGCTTATCTGTATTGTTAGCATAATTAGTAGCTCTTTTTGTTTCTTTTGTTCTCTCAATAGTGTTTCCTTTTTTCCTCCCTTGAGATTAAAGGGAAAAAATTATGTAGCACTTTAAAGACTAACAAAGATGATTTATTAGGTGATGAGCTTTCTTGGAGCAGACCCACTTCTGGTCTGCCCCAGAAAAGCTCATCACCTAATAAACTATCTTGTTAGTCTTTAAAGTGTGCTACAGAATATTTTTTTCTTTTGGTTTATCAAGATCAGACTAACACCGCTACCTCTCTGTTACTTGAGATTAAACCCCCTCCCGCCCCCAACTTTGCTGCTTATCCTATCTGGGGACATCTCCCCTCCTCTAGTTACCCTTCGCCCCTCCCTGCTCTGGTAAAAGAAAAGAACCGAAAAAGAAGAGTAAAGATGAACTCTTTGCTTCTTTCCACATTGCTAGAGATTGATTTGCCCCAGTCTCTCCTCCCTCCAACACGGGGGTATTCTTAGCTCCAGGCTCTGAGAGGTGCCTCTCCTGTAAGCAGTTTCTACAGCAGCCAGACATTCTCACTGGGTCAGACTCACAACTAAAATGGCAGTCTCCTGGGAACTGGGAGCTGAAGCTTCAAAGTCCCCCTTAGGAAGAAGGCATTTCAGTCTTCAGGAGACTCCTGATGGATTATCCCCAGAGCCTTTAACTTCATCAAAGGGTAGAGTGCTTAAAAATCCACAGCAGGCTCTTCCTGTAAAGGCTTGTAAAAACAAACTCCCTGTGATTGGCAGCCAGAGGGGGCTTCTCACAACACAGGCTGCATATCACCTGAGAAGTAAGGGCCGTCAATCTCTGAGGCAATGTTAGAGACAGCATGGTAATTGTGTTTCTTTAACAGAGTGGCACAGTGAAAGCATTGGTACCAGGTATGACAGAACTCCCATCTAGGGAGTGCTCTGCACCTTCCTAAGCATTGGTACTGACAGTGTACCATGAAAACACCTCTACAGTACCAAGTGAGCCCATAACACATGAGTTCTGGTATCCTGGAGTCCTGTGGCGTGGGTACTCAGGGAAAGGAAGTTACTGTACCAACTCTAAAAGTGCAGCATGGACAACTTTCGGTACCTTGGTCAAGAAAGTTCTTATCTAGGGAGTGCTCTGCATCAAATCAACCATTGTTGCTGATCAATAGACATTTGGTGCATCCTTCACAGCATACTCATCCTATCTATCTATCTGCCGGGGTACAGAATATGACAGCCAACAATCTGTCAGAATTTGTCATGACCCCAAATGGAAACTGAACTCAGAGGTGCTTTTACCCTCTAGGTAACCCTGTTTTACAGATCTCGTTGCTACTTACTGGAACCAAAAATGTCCTTATTACTGCCCTAGGCCTGGCCTGGAGAAACATTCATGGGGGCCCTCATCTTCCCATGGCATGGGAACCTTTTGTATGCCTTTTCCCAGTTTTCTATTTAAGGCCCGATTGAAAATTCAGCTAAACAAAGAGTTATTCTGGTTTGCACTTTTTGGCCAAGATAAATCTGACTCACTTATCTGACACAGATGATTCTATGCCCTTCTGCTCTACCTTGGCTGATTCCTCACTTGATCTCTCAAAACAAAGGCCTGCTCCTGTACCCCAACCTTCAAGTCCTTTACCTGCAGGTGTGGCGCTGTCTTAGTTCCAAAACTTAAGAGGCAGAATTTGCTGAGCTAAAAGACGTGTTGCTAGACAGCCATGGTTGACTACTTAACATACATACCCACAAAATGAAAACTATTCCAAGCTGTTAATCTAAACATATAAACCCAATCTCATCTTCCCTTCCTCTGATTTTACTCTACATTTTAGACCTCAAGCAGTCAGACCTCTCTCAGCTCCATTAAGGTACATCTTGCAGTGAAAACAGCCTTCCAAGACCAGGTAGACAAATACTCAGTGTTTGCTCACTTGCTGATGTGTAGATTCCTTAAGGGCATAGTCATCTGTGTCAGATAAGGAATCTCTTCATAAGTGTGACACCACCTGCTCCTGTTTGGAATCTTAACCTAGTTCCGGGCTTTGACTAGACCTCCCTTTGAGTTCCTGGCAACTTGTTCCCTTGTCCATGTGTACATGAAGATACATGTATGAGAGACGGTCGCTTCGTTTTTTTAAAGAGACATTAACTCTAAGACCATATCTCAAGTTTCTCCCTACTGTCTCTGCATTTTCTATATGAATCAACCGATTAATTTCCCTGTTTTTTTTTTCCCCCAAAACCCACTCTACGGAATTGTCCCCCTGTTGTCACACACGTTATGTGTTATAAAAAAACACTGGTATTCTACTTGCAGAAGAGTAAGGGCATTAGGAAATCCCCTAAATACTTCCTTTTATCCACAGAAAGATCTTAAAGCTCTGAAATATGGGCTCAAAGACTATCCAAATGGGTCTCTGGTTGCATTAATCATTATCAAGGACACAGCGTGCTTCCAGCCAGAGTCCATATGCACTCCACGAAGTCAGTTTCTGCCTTGGTCACATTCCTTACAGATATTCCTATCTCAGTAATCTGTAGAGCAGAGACTTGGGTCTCTGTCCCCCACACTCAGAATATTGTGATCATTGAAGATTCAGTCCCCCATGCCATCTTTGATTCCATAGTACTCTATGTAGTAACAGACTCCACTCCGAAATTCCTAATTGGAGTCACCTACAGTGAAGCACCCATAGGGACACTACTCAAAGAGGAACTTACTCATCTTGTGCAGTAACAGTGGTTCTTCGTTCCTATGAGTACTCCTCAACCCAACCTCCCCTCACATGGGCTGTGTCTACACTGCACCCCTTTTCCGAAAAAGGGATGCAGATGAGACAAGTCGGAATTGCAAATGAAGCGGGGATTTAAATATCCCCCGCTTCATTTGTATAAACATGGCTGCCGCTTTTTTCTGACTCGGGGCTTTGCCGGAAAACAGCACCTGTCTAGACGGGGATCTTTCGGAAAATAAAGCCTTTTCCGAAAGGTCCCTTATTCCTCTTAAAATCAGGAATAAGGGACCTTTCGGAAAAGGCTTTATTTTCCGAAAGATCCCCGTCTAGACAGGTGCTGTTTTCCGGCAAAGCACTGAGCTGGAAAAAAGCGGAAGCCATGTTTATACAAATGAAGCGGAAAAGGGGTGCAGTGTAGACACAGCCATGGAGTTCTACAAGTGAGAGGCTTTTGCCCTCGAAGTGCTAGATAGCCTCAAGGGAGCGAGAGATGGGCTCATCATACACTGCTACCAAAAATCTGAATAGGGGCTCAAGGGCATACATACACTTAAAGTAAAGCACCTAGAGGGACACGTCTCAAAGAACCATTGTTAATGTACAAGGTGAGTAACTTCCTCTTACAGGAATGTTGCATTTGTATGACAGTACTGTTTCCCCAGTCCTCCTTTCTGAGATCTTAATAAGTAACGTTAACACTGGTCTGAAGGGCTCTGTCCATCCAGCTTAGTGTTAAGTTGGCTACTAGTGCCTCATTTGCATAGAGGAAATTTAATAGAAAGTGAAATAAATGTTATTGGGAAGAATGAACAGACCTCAAGTCTGTGAAGAATCCATTCCAGAAGCCGTGAGGGACCCAGTCATAAATATTACCTATCCCTTTATAAATTATCAATACAAACTTTTACAAAATTAATTCTGCTTTAACATAAGCTTTCTATGTTCCTTTTCAGGGGTTCATAAAGAATTTAATATTTATCATTCAATGCTTTTGTTTTCATATAACTTTTACAATCTTTGTGTATTTCCTTGTTCTCCAGGGGGCTATGGCTGCCACATATTCTGCACTGAATCACAAGACATTTCAGCCAGTCTTAGAGCCTGTCGCAGCTTCAAGTTTAGCTCAACGACGGAGCATGAAAAAGCTAACTTCAACAGACTTATAGATCCACTGGGGCATCTTTAGCCAAACTAGAGCAAAGGAAAATCCAATAAGTGTCTCTATATCTGCCTGACCTGTGATCGAAAGGCATATATGGTTTCCTGCTACACTACTTGAATTCTGTAAAAGTCCTTTTTTTAAAAGAAAAAAAATCCACATGTTCAGGGGGATTCTCACTGTGTTGTTTTACAGGCGGTGTTCATCTTTATTTAAGTTAAACATCAGGGTACATCACAAAGCTCATAAGGAATTTCTGTACATGGTCCTTTTAGAGATTTGTTGCAGATATTCTTTACATACTGTATAGTTTTGCTGTGTTCATAAATAAATGGTTTAGGGGACCATTATCAATAAGAAAGTTGTGTGTTAAAAATGTCAGTGTCAGTATTTTTACCATCAGCCCCATTTTTAAAAGATCAACAAGTTCTTATTTAAATTACTTTGTAATTGGGCGCTTAGCAATGGACTCCATTTAACTCACTGATACCAGACGATAAGACTGACCCTCTTATTGTGCCAGTGCAAAATGCATTAGTGCTAATATGGGAGACCTACACTTGCCTGGTGTCAAGAATTGAGAAGGTTTGTGTACAAATATTAAAAAATGGTGTGCACCTGAGAGATTACACTTGGTCTATAAAATTTAAAATAGTCACTTGTGGACTTAGCAACTGGATAACAAGTGACCTTGTTTAGGGAATGGGTGTATCTGATGTTGGTATGTATTTCTATCTGAAGTTAAAAGCTTTTGGAAACACCCCCTACATTGAACATAAAAGATCTTATTGTGTTCTGTACTGAGCTATGAAAATGATTATATTTATAAGTCATTAAGAGTGAGAGACTGAATAGTATTGATACTACTATAGATAATACGACATTTCCGAGTAGTCCATATGCTTTACTTATTTATCCTTCTGTCACTTGACTGAATTATGCCTCTCTCTGTTCCATGAAGAATAGGACTTTACCACTGCCTTCCATCTTAGACAGTCTGTTGCTGCTATCTTAGCTCTTCCCATATAATTTTGATAGCTTTCTATATTGGTGTTTCCATGTTATCCTTGGCCTATCTTGTTTCCTCTTGCCTTGGGAATTCCATGCAACTCCTGTCTTACGTTGTTTGGGTTTTTCCTCCATGTAGCCATCTTTTATTCATTTTTGTTCCATAATTTCCTGGCCCTTGTTTTATCATCCCTGAGAGTTGTATTTTTTCCCTGGTCTTCCGATATAGAGAATTTGTTGAAGGCAATTGTTTAATGAAAACGATAGTAAGGTCTTAAATCTCCAAGCGTCAGTACCATTTAAAACTGACTTGACAAAATTGTTCACTATTCAAAATTTCATTCGGAGGGCAAGATTACTCTTTCTTCAAGTCAGCATTAGTTATGAAGGCATGTCTAGTTTTTGCAATTCTGTCTTTAATGTCTGTTTTACCTGTTGTACTTGATATGTGAAATATTGGAACTAGTCTGTCAGGCCCAGAAAGTGTTGTCGATGTTGTTTTTTGTGTTACTTTTGAACCTTACTGATTGTGTATAGGCTCAAAGATCATTTGTTTCAGCTTGCATGTCTCTGGGTATGAGATAGCAAGTTGATGTCATCTGTATTTGAGATCTTCTAATTTGTGTGAAAGTCCATTGTATGCTGCTTGATTGTTTTGTGGTCTTTCTCATTACTCAATGCACTACCAGTATAAAGATCATGGGTGTCATAAGGCATCCTTGTCTGCTGCTGGTAATAATCTCAAATGGCTTAGCTCTTTGTTACGTATTACTTGGCAAGTCATATTTTTGTAGAAGCTCTGTGTGATCACAGATTTCTGAGGGATTTCATAGCGGCCATAGCAACTTTCATAAAGCTGCTCTAGCCGCTATGTCAAAGGCTGTCCCTTAGTACATGGCTCTCCTGCTGTATGTGGATTATATTGCTGTTTCTTTGAGTTTTTCTGTTGAAGAGCAGTATGTTCAATGTTAGCTTATCCTATATTGTTAGGTAAACTGATATTTCATTGTAGCATATTTGCCACATGGTTTTTAATAGTTTTATTTATTTAAATATATGTAAGTGTTCCTATCTACATCCCTTTACACGTGTACAAATATTAGAAAAGATAAATGCAGAGACTCATGACCCTTTGAAAAACTTTGAATAACTACAGGGGAAGCCTGAGGAAAAAATGTAAGCCTTCTAGTGTGCCCTTAAGTCAGTAGGTACAGGTCTTTGACCAAAGAGGGAGGAATAGGTTCCACAATTGTGGACGTCACTGGTGCCATCTCTCTCTGTTTGAACCTAGGCATTTAGCTAAGTGCCTCAGCTGATCTGAACTACTTTGGTATATCAGTGAGAGTATCTAGATCTGCCAGGTAGGTCCCAAATCATTGTAGGTTTCTAAATTTTCTAAATTAAAATCAATACTTTGAATTGTGCCTAGGGGTGAACCAGAAATTAGTGTAGTCTGTAGTGATTGTGATCAAATACATCATTTTATGAAGCTTCAGACACTACTACATAGTTCTAATATAGTAGCATAATGAACATTTTAAATATTAGGAAAGTTAACTAGTGACCTACAGCTAAATTTGAACATACTGAGATTCATTATGACTAAAACTCAATTGTTGTCCTGACTTATCTATCATTGAATTTTTGATCTCATAACATTTTTATAGCAAATGACAAAATGTTAATCCAGAGGGTGGGTGGGGGGACTTTGCACACTGGGATGGTACATTGGTGTGAGGCCTTTCAGGGGAGGAGTTCTGGAATAACAAAAGTTAGCAGTAACACATTCTAAAATGTGGAGGGGACTTTTTGTTGATACATAGGAAGTCATTGGGAGTACTATAGGTATGCTGCTAGTTACTTTTTATTGTGCAAGAGGTAGGAATTTTCTTACTGAACAATTAAGTGTTTTAAGTTAGGATGCTTGTAGGTATGGGATTGAATGAATATGAAGAATGTGTATACTAGTTTATCATGCAAGTCATGCCTACTACTCAATTTATTGGGTATAATACATCTTGGAAACATTAGGGCCTGTTTGTACCTAATTTGAGGTGCCTGTTTTGAAATGCTTAAAAGATAAGAAAGCACGTAGCTGCCATATGGAAAACATACTACTCAGAAATAATTCTGCATCTTACATGCATCTTGCATTTTTATTATTATAGTCCTTTGCTTGCAAGTAAGTACACTTCTGCATATTTCCTACCTAATAGTGTATTTTCATTTGTAATGTTAAATTACTTTTATCAAAATTGAGATCACAAAAGATCAGACTCTGGATGGAGATAGAGAAAAAGCATATTTAAAAACAAGGATCCAGAAATAATGCAGATTTTAATGTTGGTAATAAAAATGTGTGTGTGGGGGGGAGGGGGAACATCTAAGATGCTAAGCTTAATTGTCTTCAATTTTTTTCCTCAAAGTGGCAACTGGTCTTTTTTTGGCTTTATTCATGAGTGATTTAGTCTCCATTGCATTGGTGTTTTCATTTAATTTGTTCAGAACCACCATGCAATAAGCATTTTATAAGAATTATGTACTAAATCAGTAATAAGCAGACCAAAATATTTAGCATGCAATGGTATCTTTCTGGTGTGAAGGATAGAGTTATAAAGAGGAAAATGTGCAGACATATACTGATTGGTGAACACGGAATTTAGAACACTTTGTAAGTCAGTCCTGTGGTTTAGATAAGAACATCTATAAGCTCTACTGCAAGTGGCACTTCTATGACAAAAATGTTTCCCTGGTTGCACCATTACAGGAATAACCTTTTCATAGAGACTAGCTGTGTAGACAATATCTTAGTTATATTTGACATAAATATCAGGCATACATGGCATGTCTGTTTCCACTTTCTTGGGAAGAATGCACCCTTATCTTAACTAGTGCAAACAAAATCCTGTCTAGGTACTTACATTTCATTGTGTCAGCAGTCTTTCCGTATCTGTGGGTATTGCTGGAATCCAAAATAAAGTTTCATCTTTTTATTTGCAGTGTTTCAAGACAATGCTGTTTGGGGGGTTGAGCTGATTTTTCTCACTTTAAAGGAAAATGTCAGTTTTGCAGAATTTAAAAGGAATTTAAAAGAATGTAAAAGGGTGTACAACATGAATTCATGAGTACTTTGTTTAAAAATGAAGATAATTAGTTATTTGAGTCTGTTAGAAGGGGCTATTGAAAAGTTTTAATTTGGGTCACATACATATAGCTACCACACAATCAAAGATTATAGACTGGTTAGCATTTTATTGTGGGTTCTGGCTTAAAAATAAGAGACCATAATGTAGTGAATTTTTTACTTTAATCCTTAAGTCCTTTTAAATACAGAATGGAGAACTACTTCTATATAGGGATTTCTGTAGTGCTAATTACCATCCTATATAATATGATCCAACATATATCAAATATCATTTTCCAGTAAGAAGCCTGCCAACACACAGTCTCAGTAGTATTTTTGTAATAAAAGCCTTTGTTTTCAAATAGATATTCACGCAGAGCCTGATCAGCATCCACTGAAGTGGCAAGACTCCTTTTGACTTCAGTGTGAACAGCAGCAGATCTATATATAGTAAAAGGTGTCATGTCTCTTGCGTGGTGAGATTGTTTCAGTGAAGCACTGATTGTTTGTAAAATGTGAAACTCTTCAATGTGCTCCTGATCCCATTACTCAGAAGTTGTGGTGGTACCAACAGTAGATTTTGCAGAATCAGATATCTTAGGGAGGAGCTTTCAGCGTGGGCAGATTTGTCTTAAGACAACATGTCTTGGTTATTGGGATCTGTTACAGAATACAGGATTATGTGTTTCCTTTGTGCTCAAAGGGAGAGCATTCCTTTGGCCACACACAATTGTGGCCAAAATACTGGTACCACTGCTCTATAGCTTAAATGTTCTGCTTAGTGAGCGCTTGCAGAGAACTCATCTCAAACATCTCATGGATATGAAAATGAAAGCAAATTCTACACCAGTCAGCTTTTACCTTTAGACTTCTAGTTACGGAGCTGAATTATCCTTACCCTTGTCTTTTTAGCATTGAAAAAATTTATTAAAACAAACTTATGCACTCACTGTATATTGTAAGAGTTGAAAAAAATAAATGAACTGAAACATTCAATAATTAATACTATTTCTAGAAAATTGTAAGAGGTATTTTAACAAACAGTAGAAACGTAATTCATTGTATGCATATCTGTTCATCAGTGCATTGCAACAGGTTGCTATAACATCAGAGCACTTAATTTAATTTTTTTTCTGGATGTTGCAATTGGAGGCGGGGGGGCGGAGAGCCTGGAAAGATTAAGACTTAATTGCATAAATTTACCAGCATTGTGGTGATTATCCACTCTTAGTCAACAGAATGCAGCTAAAATAACCACTCAAACAGGGTTACATGCACTACAATGACAGTTAACATTCTTTAGTCCCAGCCAAAAATGAAGGCATGCATGTGTTTAAAAATATTTTTGAAGTTATTTTTAGTGTGTTTAACCTCCTGTTTTGTTTGATTGTAGTGGTAAAGTTAGAGGGTGAGAGGGAAATCCTTTAGTCACAATACCACAGGAACAATATATTTGACAGAATAGTTGATCCACAATGACTTATTTAAAGCATTCATACATGTTACCAAGTGTGTGTATATAGAGAAGACAAACATTGTACTTTGTTATATACCACACTTTATTAGCAACTGTTCAATTAAGTGCACTCTGAATATAAACTGTTCTTATTTCTAGCGTATCTTAATATTTGCTCCCAAACGATAATATTTTCCTGACTGTTGATGAACCTGCATGTTTGTGTGAATATGAATAATATGGAAATTAAATTGAGGAAATGCAGCTATATGGCTAAAACTGAATAGTAGAGTAACTAGCCTTTAAAAAAACCTTTTATAATACAAATCCTTGTTTCTATGAGGGTTTTTTCTGTGTAAGGAAAGCAAATCCATTCCTTAAAATAAGTTTTGAAAGCTGTAGGTAGAGGATCTTAAAACTATAATTGGCAAATATTATTAAGTATGTTTCAGAAATAATCCTTCAGACATTAATTTAACCTGTTTTTGTTAGGATACTGAAAAAATTCCTTTTCAGGGCAAATTGTTCTTATAATATGTATGTTGCATTAGGGTTATGACCATTTTGCTAACTATTGCATTGCATTGTTACAGTTTCCCAAGCACTTTGGCATTCTTGCACTGATACTCTGTTTATAGCTAAAGCTGTTTCGGCATGCAACTGGGCATAAATCTCACTATATGAAAGGGCATTAAAGCTAAAACAAAGTGTGCAATTCAATTATATGCTATATGAGGTACTTCAAAGAGGAACTATACAAAAGGTCCCCATTGTCAGATATTGTAACTATCATTTCCTTCTCTAAACATATTGTGGATTTTGTATCATATTGTATTTATTTCATTTTTTAAAAGATGTTTTCTTTAAAGCTCTGTATATATTGACATTAAAGTTTGCCTTGTACTACATTCTTCTCCTTGTAAGGCTGAATCCAGTAGTGCATTATACAGCATGTATTTTTTCTTTTGCACTATGCTGCTAAATATTACTCTCACGTTGAATTACAACATGCCAAAGATGACTTAGAAATTGTATTTATTTTCATTAAAAGATTATGCATAATTATAAAGGGACGGATTTAAATAGCTGGCAGTTCATTGGGTACTAAAAAAATGTGTACATTTATATTTTATAACTGACCAAATGTGATCATATGTGATTCAGAAACTTTCACAGCCCATTTTTAATTTTAAAAAAGTGAGCCAACTTTCATAAAACAATCTATGCTGTGACTTGCACTGTTTATTGAGCCTGCCTTGCTATATATTTCAAGCACAAATCAAGGGCCTGTCGTTGTATATTTGTAATCACAGCACAGTGTTTTAATGTGTATATTAAACACTTTAAAAACATAGTTACACAACAGATCTGAGTGAAATGTGAACTTATGGTGGGATAAGCCCTCATTTCACTTGGTTTTGGTATTTTTATTGTGAGTTTCCTGGTAGTTCAAGAAATCCTTTTAATACTCTACAGCAAAGATACTCAATTGTCAAGGCCAAGATGTCTGGGTCTAGACTCCAGAGAAAATCATTTAAAAAATAATAATTAAATAGATATGGAGGGCCATTCACAAGTGTTTGGGTGGTCCAAATTTGTTGCACAGAGCACCTATTGACTACCTCTGCTCTGACTAACTTTCTCCCAAAGGCTTTGATCCTCTAAATTCTCATGGACATACTTAATTCAGGCATGAGAAACCCTGCTGAAACTAGTGGGATCTAGTCAAGTGTGAAAGTTAATTATGGAAATCATTGTTTGCCAGATGAAGATCTTAGAGCTCAAATAGCAATCCATGCTTATTTTAAACTGATTACCAATGCAATCTCTTTGAACAATTTGCCTGGCTCATAGATGAGAGGGCCATTATTGCAGTAGCAATTACAGTTAAAATATTCACATAGTAATGGATATGTTGAATACCACAGTGTACAGTATTTCACATCAAATTAAGAATATTTAAATATTTGACTTGTGTGCAATGTAGTTGTAGCCATGTCAGTTCCTTGATATTAGAGATACAAGGTGGGTGAGGTTCTGTCTCTCACTACACCGTCTTGTATTGTTGAGAGCCACACAGAGATCTGCTTCAGTTCTGGGAACGGTACTCTGAGCATCATTGTTAAATGCAAGGTGGACTAGATGATAGCTTAAGTAGTTTTGTAAGGAAAGCAAGAGTGGCCTGTTAACATTGCTGCAAGCTGTAGGAAATAGAGGAGGTTAGGCTTTTTCTATGGTGGTATTTTTGTTGATCAGATTTGTGTTCCTTTTCACTCCCCCAGACCAGCATATGTTTCACCCACAAAAGTGGACAGTGCTATATTGACAGAGGTGGTTTAATTCTGTAGGCAGCTGAGTCCTCTCCCGCCAGCAAAGAGTGGCTACATAGTTCCTACAGCAGCACAGTTATATTCCTATAGCTGTGTTATTGTAAAGACCATAGTGTAACCTTATTGCAGTTGTTTTCAAACTTCTTAGGCTTTGTCCTTTTTCAAATAATGTAGCTTACTTCATATCCTCATCTGAGATACCAGAGGCAGCGTGGGGGACTATGCCGGTGCATGCAGTAGCAACGATTTGTATAATGAGGGCGCTGAAAAACATTTGAGCATAAGTAAATGTTGCATATGATGGAAATCACTTTTAAGTCAATGGTGCTGCTGCCATTTGCCCCAAAGATTGCAGCTTTCTGTTTAGGAACAGCCTCTAGCGGTTTTCAAACTGGGATGTGCTCCTCAAGGGGGCTATCAAGGCTGTTCCCTGCTCTAGCACTCCAAGTACAGGAGAAGAGGACCCGCAAAGGTTCCAAAAAAAAAACCAAACTTTGCCTCTACAGACACTGGTTACAAAAACTTTACCCCAGAATCACAATACACAGATTTGGTGGAATCGCTGCCACCATCAAGTGATTTCTATTCCTAAAAAACTAGGGGTGAACACCTGAACTCACCCCCATGGGTACTCCAAACTCTCTTGCTCTAAAAGAGCTTTAAAAAAAAGAGGAAAACAAGCTGCAGTCTCTGGTAGCTGACCCTTCAGTCTGAGGCATGCAGATACACAGACAGGCAGACCTTCTGGAACATAAGATTCAAATAATCACCTTAAAAGTGATTTTTTTAAAATTACAAAATAAAAGAAACTTGATAAAACATACTCGGTTGCTGGATATTACTTAGTGTGGGTACCTTGCTGGTTGCTAGGCTTGGGTTGTGAGTGACCTCCACTGGCTGCTGGCTGCAGCACGGCCCAGCAGGGCAGGGGATGAGTCATTATGCAAGGGTGCTTCAAACCTGTCTGACCAGTGATCTCCCAGGGAGCGGAACAATGGGAAGAAGGGGAGTGGAGCTCTGGCTGGGGGCAGGGCTGGAAGTGAGTGTTTTAGTTTCTGTCTGGGAGCATGAAGGAGACAGCCTAGGAAAAGGGGCTGGAATTTAGGGGCCCAGTCTCCCCCATCTCAAGGGGGGCTGAGGCATCCTAGGCCTGCCCTGGAACCAGATTACATCTGTGCTGTGCTGTATCCTGGAGAAGCAATAAACACCCTCTATTCTACTGGCTGGTGGAGTCTGTCCGTACCATTACGGGGGTGCAGGAGACGGGAAAACCCCAAGGCGTCGTCACACAGAGCAACTAAGGAAAACAAAACAGAGAAAAGTCTCTGGGCACAATGTTAGATGGTAAATGGGGAAGGGAGGAATAGATTCTCACAGAACAGTTCAAACCACAAAATAAAAATTACCTTGAACAGGCCTAGATTTTTTGACACTTCTTCCAATTTTCTCTTAGAATCATAGAACCGGAAGAGACCTCAGAAGGTCATCAAGTCCAGCCCCCTGCTCTAGGCAGGACCAATTCCGACCGAATCAACCCAGCCAGGGCTTTGTCAAGCCGAGACTTAAACACCTCTAGGGATGGAGACTCCACTACTTCCCTAGGTAACCCATTCCAGTGCTTCACCACTCTCCTAGTGAAATAGTTTTTCCTAATATCCAACCTGGACCTCTCCCATCACAATTTGAGACCATTGCTCCTTGTTCTGCCATCTGTCACTACTGAGAACAGCCTCTCTCCATTCTCTTTGGACCCTCCCTTCAGTAAGTTGAAGGCTTCTATCAAATCCCTCTTCGCTTCTGCAGACTAAACAGACCCAAGTCCCTCAGCCTCTCCTCATAAGTCATATGCTCCAGCCCCCTAATCATTTTGGTTGCCTTCCGCTGGACCCTCTCCAATGCGTCCACATCCTTTTTGTAGTGGGGGGCCCAGAACTGGACACAATACTCCAGATGTGGCCTCACCAAAGTCGAATAAAGGGGAATAATGACATCTCTGGATCTGCTGGCAATGTTCCTCTTAATGCAACCTAATATGCCATTAGCCTTCTTGGCTACAAGGGCATGCTGTTGACTCATATCCAGCTTCTCATCCACTGTAACCCCAGGTTCTTTTCTGCAGAACTACTACTTAACTGGTTGGTCCCCAGCTTGTAACTATGCTTGGGATTCTTTGTTCAGTCCACTCTGAATTCCTTGGAGACATGGTAGTCCTGTGTGCGTTTAAATCATTCTGTGTGTTTCAACAACTGGTTTTTCTCTCCCACACAAAGGAAGCTGGCAAGGCATCTATATCCAATTCAAATTTCATCCCCCGGCCAGCACCTTTGCTAGCTACCTGAGTTTAACCCCTTACTCACCCAGTGCAGGTCAGCACTCCTGTCCATTACAGCAACACCAGATGGCTCAAGCCAGTCTGCGTAGCAGGGCTTGCAGAGGGAGCGCCACCTTAACTCACTCACCTGAGCAGGCCACCCAACCTGTGGATTTGGGGGAGGAGGCACATAGGCAGGTCCCATATATTTTTTTAAAATATTCCAGACCCCTGTGAATGCTAATATACATGATTTTGCTGTATAAAAGTCCCTTTTTGCCAGCTCGGACACCTTTTGGCAACCAAATTTCAGTTTGACATATCAGTGATTGATTATAAGATGAAACAATAACAATTTCTGCTGATTTTAGTTTCTCTAGCACAGTTGTGATTGCTGCAAGTCAGTGTGTTCGAGTGAGTGCTGCCAGGTTCCCAAAAATTGGACAGGGAAGAGATGTTTCTTCCCATTCCCTCTAGCACATGGCACTAAGTGACGACAGGTAACGTACATATTCCCCCCAAAGTGCCTATACAGCTGCCAGCCTACTGCCCTGAAAAACCTTCCCACTACCCCTGGTGCTGGGTTTTCTGAGGGGCACCGTGTCCAAGAATGCAATGGTTTTGGATTGCGGTGATATTCCCTAGTACCTCATTCTCCAAGCATATCTAAGTATTTCTTCAGTCACTGCCAAGAAGGGCAATGGTTTAACCAATGCTGAGAGAAAGATGCTGCTCCCAGACCCTATTCTAATGCTTCTGTCTTGTTCCCACTAAGGGCTCAACTTAGCTCTGCTTTCACTGGATTGTGGTTCCCAAGAGACACTTGCAAGGCATGGTCTTCCTTTGCTGGAGGGAGAAAGGGCCTTTCTCACTTAATATATTTGCAGAGCTCACTAGTGTGATTTGATTGGCCTGTTCACCACCTACACACTTGGTAAGATCTCAGTACAGCTTCCAGATACCTTAGAGGTGGTTGCTGAAGAAGCAGCTTCCTCAGGCTGGCCCCCATAATAGTGAGGGCAGACTCCTCCAGCTGATGATCAGTCACAGGAACATATAGGGCCCCATTTTAGTTCAAGGTGAAAAGTCTAGCTGTATTCCCATCAGCCTCACTACCTCCTGAGGGTGCTTCTTACCATCACCTTTTACCAGGCCACTTCCCCACTACTTCTCTAAGTTCTCCCTTTTCCCCGGAGGCCAGGACTTATAAAATTAATAATGGAATACCCTGATAAATCTCAGACCATACATACATTTAAATTCTGCTCTCCTCAGGCTTGACCAGTTACTATTCAAATTGCCCGTACATACTTAAATGCTGCCTTTCAGGTCTCTTTCCCAGGGAGTTCCTGCACTTTTATCAGGGCTCACCATCAGCACCTGCTCCATCTTATTGGCTGCTCTTGGTTAGTCCTGGCCTTTTATCAGACTTCCCTACTCCAGAGAGAGTCCCTGGGCCTTCCTCCTTGGCTCTGAGTTCTCCAATGCCAAGAGAGGGATTAGATCTCCTTCCCTTTCTCTGCTGAAGCTCATTCTGCTCCACCCAACCTGCCTTTAAAGCAGTGGTCACCAACCAGTAGTTTGGTATCTACTGGCAGGTCCTGGAGCCTGATAGGTGATCCTGACTGATTTGGTCAGGAGACTATCAAATGCCGGCACTTCAGTGACCCCTTTCCCCCACTGCCATGATCTGATTTCAGGGCATCCATTTTCCCCCAACCCTGTACACCATGTCCGCAGAGGGGTGGGACATGATGGTGGCTTAACAACCAAGTAAAAGAAGCAATGAGGGATAAAAAGGCATCTTTTAAACAGTGGAAGTCAAATCATAGTGAGGAAAATAGAGAAGAGCATAAACTCAATGTAACACTATCAAATTGAATGTAAAAATATAATAAGAATAGCCAAAAAAGATTTTGAAAAACAGCTGTTCTAAAAGTCAAAAAGTAATACTAAAATGTTTAAGTACATCAGAAGCAGGTAGCCTGCTAAACAACCAGTGGGGCCCTTGAACAATCGATATGCTAAAGGAGCGCTCAAAGATGATAGTCATTGCAGAGAAGCTAAATGAATTCTTTGCTTCAGTCCTCATGGCTCAGGATATTGGGGAGATCCCCAAACCTAAGCCATTCTTGTTAGGTGACAAATCTGACGAATTGTCCCAGACTGAGGTGTCATTAGAGGAGGTTTTGGAATAAATTGATAAACTTAACAGTAAGAAGTCACCGGGGCCAGATGGCATTCACCCAAGAGTTATGAAAGAACTTAAATGTGAAATTGCAAAACTATTAACTGTGGTTTATAACCTGTCCTTTAAATCCGGTTCTGTACCCAATGACTGGAAGATGGCTAATGTGACGCTAATGTTTTAAAGGGGCTCTAGAGGAGAGCCTGGCAATTATAGACCGGTAAGTCTAATGTCAGTACTGGGCAAATTAGTTGAAACTATAGTAAAGAATACAATTGTCAGACACATAAATGAACATAATTTGAGGGAAAGTCAACATGGTTTCTGTAAAGGGAAATCATGCTGTGCTAATCTACTAGAGTTCTTTGAGGGAGTCAACAAACATGTGGATGGGGTATCCAGTGGATATAGTATACTTAGATTTCCAGAAAGCCTTTGACAAGGTCCCTCACCAAAGGCTCTTAAGTAAAGTAAGTTGTCATGAATAACAGTGAAGTTCCTTTCATGGATTGATAACTAGTTAAAAGACAGGAAACAAAGAGTAGGAATAAATGATCAGTTTTCAGAGTGGAGAGAGGTAACTAGTGGGGTCTCCCAATGAGTCTGTCCTGGGACCAATCTTATTCAACTTATTTATAAATGATCTAGAGAAATTGTGGAAGAAAACATTGTCCTCAGAGTCATTGTGGATAGTTCTCTGAAAACATCTACTCAGTGTATAGTGGCAGTCAAAAAAGCAAACAATGTTAGGAATCATTAAAAAAGGGATAGAGATTAAGACAATATCTTATTGCCTCTCTATAATATCATGATGTCTGGAATAGTGAGTACAGATGTGGTGGCCTCATTTCAAAAAAGATATACTGGCATTGGAAAAGGTTCAGAAAAGGGCAACAAAAATGATTAGGGGTTTGGAACGGGTCCCATATGAAAAGAGATTAAAAAGACTTGGACTTTTCACCTTAGAAAAGAGGAGACTAAGGGGGGATATGATAGAAGTCTAAACAATCATGACTGATTTGAAAAAAGTGAATAAGGGAAAGTTATTTACTTATTCCCACAATATAAGAACTAGGGGGTCACCAAATGAAATTAATAAGCAGCAGATTTAAAACAAACAAAAGGAAAGGGTTTTTTTTGTTTGTTTTTTTTTTTTTTTTGCTCAGCATAGAGTCAAGCTGTGGAACTCCTTGCCAGAGGATGTTGTGAAGACTAGGGGTACATTTACACTTGCTCCCTAGTTTGAACTAGGGATGCAAATGTAGCTGACAGAAATTGCTAATGAAGCGTGGGATATTTAAATCTCCGCTTCATTAGCAATTTCAGTCGGCGACATTTGCATCCCTTGTTCGAACTAGGGAGCAAGTGTAGACATACCCTAGGGTTCAAAAAAGAGCTAGATAGCCATTGATGGACCTAACCTCCATGAATCTATTATTCAGGATGGGTAGGAATAGTATCTCTAGCCTCTGTTTGTCTGGAAATGGATAACAGGAGAGGTATCACACGATGACTACTTGTTGTGTTCCCTCTCTCTAGGGCATCTAGTATTGGCTGCTGTCAGAAGAGAGGATACTGGGCTAGATGGACCTTTGGTCTGACCCACTATGGCCATTCTTGTGTTCTTGTGTCTTGGGATAAAGGGAGCTTGCTGGCAGCTACTCCTATGTTTGAACATGCTTTGCATTCTTAAAGGAGCAGTGTGACTGTCACACACTGTGTGTGTGTCTCACTCAGAAACATACACACTTCCACACTCATGTTCTGATCCAACATACACTTGTGGTGGTGGTGTTATTATTTTAAGTTCTTTTGAAGTGTGTTGTTAGGTTTTTGATTGGTCTGTGCATTTCATAGTTTTTACTTCTCCTATGCTTTACATCTAATTCTTTGAGTAGTGAGTTCTAAAATGCCTACTCTGTCCTGGCTGGAGTCATTATCCCTCAGGTAATTTTTTAAAATATAATATCTAGGGTTTTGGTTTCTACTGCACATTGCCTTGGTATTGGTGAACGTAACAAAATTCATTCCATCTAATTGTTTCCCATGCACATGAGGAACAGTGGCCTGGAGTCTCCTCTAATTAGGTGTGATCTCCTGGAGGCTCGTGCAGCTAAATCAGGAGATCAGCTGCTAACAGTGCAGAGGGGCTAAGGCAGTCCCTGTGGGGGTCTCCAAATGGGGAAGGTGGGGGTCTCCAAATGCTGCCTTTGCCTGCAGGCACCATCCTTTCAACTCCCATTGTCTGGGAATGGGGAATTACAGCTAATGGGAGGTGTGGAGGCAGTGCCTGCAGAGAGGGGGACAGTGGAGCCACCTGCCCCTCTCCCTCAGGAGACACTGGTGGACATGCTGGAAACTTTTGGGAGTGGTGTCTGCTTTAGTCCCACTGCATTACCACCCAAGAGCTGCCTGAGATAAGTGGTTTCCTGTAGGAGCCCGTATCCTGAGCCCTGTCCAACCCTGACCCCCCCCCCCCCCCCATATGCCCAGCCTCGTGAAAGTGCGGAGGGAGAAGAAGTATGGACGGGGCAGATGACCATTTTGTGAGGCACCGGGCAGCATAACTCCGCAGGGCCCCCCCTTTGCCACAGCGCATGCGTGGGGCTTTTTTAAGTGCGGGGCCCGGGGCGGGCCACCCCTTTCGCCCTGCCCTATATCCGCCCCTGAGTATGGATGTGCTGAGCAGAGCAGGGCCTAGGAGTAGGGATGGGGCAGAAGTGGGGTCTCGGAGAAGAGGTGGGGAAGGAGACTGGGCAAAAGCGTGTTTGGGTTTGAGGTAGATCCTGAACTGCATTTGAATTAGAAAAGTGATCTTGTGCATACAAAGTCTGGAGACTTCTGCTTTAAAGCAACCACCCAGGTCCTTCCGCAGCTGAAAGTCTGGCCCCCCACTCCAGTTTCAGCCAGCCGGCACGATTACCTTCTGAGGCCCATTAACCTATTCATTGCCCGTGTGTGCTTAACATCCCTCTAGTTTGTGGATCATGAGTATTCAAGCAGGAACAACTTAGAATTCTCCCCATCCTATGCCACCTACAGCATTGCAGCTCTGAGCTCCTGATGCTCAAATACCAGAAAAAGCCACTACTGCTCTAGTTCTCGCCTCCATAGGCAAGGATTACTTATAAGCAATCCAATAAAAATCTAAGTTGATCTACATAAGGTCGCTTTGTTCTCCACAGTGAACTTTAATTGCATGATGTCAGGGTTATTTTTTTTTGACATATCAAGCAGCCACCCATTAATGCAAACACCCAGGACAGGATTTAAACAATGTTGGCCAAAGTGACAGTTGGCAAGAATGCTCCATTCTTTAGACAGGAATGATCGTTACATCTTTTATTTTGCAGTACCCTGAAATACTCAGATGAGCTTTCTGAAATGTAGCAGCCCTTCTCCTTAGGATGTTCATTTGGCAATTGTCGTGCTCTCCCAAGTGATACTTGCTGGGCTGCTCACCTTCTATGCTGTTGTCATGAGGGGACTTGTGGCTGGCTACTTATCCGTTCCAAGGCCAGATGATCTGGTATGATCTCCTATATAGCACAGAGCATAAGACTTCCCTGAATTAATTCTTCTTTGGACTAGAATGAATCAAGACTTGATTTTAAAGTTACTAGTGGTAGAGAATCTACCACAATCTTTGGTAACTTGTTCCAATGCTGAATTACCGTGATTTGTTTATATATGTCTTATTTCCAGTCTGAATGTATCTAGTTTCAACTTTGACACCGAGTCTTGTTACTACTAACTTGAGCAGCCTATTATCAAATATCAAATAGGAATTAATAAACTACGATCAAGGATGGTCTATATTCTTTGTTCCTAGGTATATACATTTATCTGCCTATGTTAAAATGATGTATTTGTGCCCTGCTTTTCAAATCATCTGCTTTTCTCTGTATCAGCAACATGTACCCATCAATCTTTACCTCTTCCCCAATTTTTGTGTCACCTACAAACTTTATGTGGTGATTTTTGTTTTCTTCCAGGTCATTGATCAAAATGGTAAATAGTATAGGGTCAAGAACCATTTACTGCAGGACTGTAACAAACCTGGTCAATAATGATTTCCTATTTACAATTAGACATTTAATCCATTCAGTATGTGCCATTTGGTTTAATATCGTAGGTTTTAAAAAAAATATGTGGTACCAGGTCAAATGCCCAAATGTTATCAACACTTTATCAGCCAAACTTGTAATATCAAAAAAGGCTACTGAGGTAGTTTTGATAGGCCCTATTTTCTATAAGCCCAGGGTGGTTATTTTAGCATTATGTAATTATATTACCCTCCTTTTATATGAGTCCCTACCATCTACTCCTTTTGCTCAGGGTCTGTATCAGGCTGTCATGCCTATAGCTGAGTCATCCCATTTACTGTTTTTAAATATTAGTTCCCAAATCCTTATTTATGAGCCTGAGAGCACCTGTCTCCCAGGCTCCTGTCCCTGAGCGTTCAGGGGGCAGAGATTAACTTCAAGAACAAGAACTATTCTCAAGAATATAACACAGTTGTGAGAAGAGAGACACAAACTGTTTAATATTGGGGATATACTGAGGATGGAGGTGGACATACATACCCCAGAAAAGGTACGATTTGTGCACTTCCCAATGTACAGATTATCCCAAGTAGGTTCAGTCCCAGCCCCTAGTCCTAAATGGTACTTTCCAATTCTAGTGGTGGTCACTGCTAGTGGGGTACAGTGAGAACTTGGAGAGGTGTTGGTCCTGGTCTTGGCTGTATAGTGGCTGCCATTGTTCCTAGCTACTTAAATAGGTTGTTCTGGTTTTTGAGGTCTCTGAAACCTACACAGAGGACATATACATGGGCCATGCAATAATCTGATACTGGCTATACAGCTGATCAGGGCACAAGCTACACAAGGGGCAGACACAGCTCTATCAATGCTGCTCTGTTTGAAACTGCATCCCATTCTTTCTGAACCTCACCTGATGGATTTTTGCAGAACAGATATGAACAAACATCCTTTGGGGAGCAGAATGAACCCACGTGATGCACTTTCACTAGATTCACTATATTTGTGCATGTGTGGTAAACTAATGCTAGTGGATTGTCTGAGTTTGATAGCCTTGGTGACCAAGGCCTCCTGGCCACAGAACTGGATCTGGGGTAGGGGGTAGCAAAATACAGCCTTCCATCCTGTCCATTCACTCGTTAACATTGTTCTGGTGTCCAGTGGTTACAGTGCACCAGGTCACCGTCCCTGGAAATGAAGTGTATCACAAGCAAGTTTGGGGTGCTGAGGGGTGCAAGTTTTTATTAGCAGCTGAGGGAAAATTCCCTTAGAGTGACTTGCTTCTCCTGACTTGAGGGACTGCAACTAATCATGGTTGTATTAGGAAGCCGGCAAAGCCCTTTCCTGTCCTTTCAGGAACCAACACTCTCTTCTCACTGAAAGTGATGTTGGAAGGGAACAGAAAGACCTTTGACAGCTCAGGGTGGCTCCACTCCTCCTTTCTCCCTTTCCACTCCCTCTGTGCAACACCCAGCCTGGGAATGGGGAAAGGATCACTGATGTAGCCCCTGTCCAGGCTTTGGGGGAGGGAGATGAAGCCTAGCAGCTGCAAGAGGAGCAGAGGTGAGTGAGAATGGAAAGGACAGAATTGATATGGGGCTGAGGAGCAGGATAGATTTGGAGGTTGTGGCAGAATTGCTGAGCTAAGACAGACCCGTGCTCCACACGTGTGCATACTTTTCAGGCCACTTTAAGCTCTGCTGATGCCCCACTTACAGGAAATGGCTGGTAAACTAAATTTCATTATGCCCACAAATAGTCTGCATGTGACTCTGATGTGGATAGTGTTCACTAAACACTGGTCTGAGTCTATCAACCCATTTTGTATAGGCTATAGCTCTCACAATAACATTGGGGTTCTGTTAATCCTACAAGGATTTGACCCTGCAACCGAGACCTGAAAGACCCCTTGTAATTTAATCTGCTCAAATCTGAAGCATGGATTTTAGCTACAGAAATCAAGTTCATTTACCACTTGGCAGCCAGAGCCATGTTGCCAGAGAATGCTGGCAAAGGGCACTCTTGCTTCACCTCTAAAACTGTTAGCAAGCCTCCTCCTTGACTGCTCTCCCATCGTACTTCTCCTTTTGCCCATTAGATGTCGCCATTACCTAAATTAAACATATGATACTACCAAAGTGGTGGTACACAGCATGAGTAGAAAAGATATGCTTCATTTACTAGAGTGAAAACTCATGCAGTTAACCTTACCCTGGAGTAATCAGACTGCGATTTTACAAACCGTTTTATTTAATAGTTACTTATTAAAATCTATTTAATGAAAGTCAGATTAGAATTAAAGGTTAAATACTGATAGGGAGGATTTGAAATTAAAAATTTTTATTCCATATTTACCCCCTAACGATTTTGTGGACAAACTTTTATGTCTATAATCATGGCAAAGCATGCTGCTGGGACATAGCTGTGAAGCGTTGGACATACCAAGCAAATTGCTTTTTGTCAGCCTCCATGAATCATCACAGTGGATCTCTTGTGTGTTTCCTGGTTTTCATCATTTCTCTCTTTCTGTAGGTCATCTTCCTAGCACTTTTCACTGATTTCTCTGTATCTCATTTGTCCTTCATAGGGCAATTAATGTCTAGCTGCTTCTTCAGCCTGTGCTTTAGGAAAGGTTGCCAGAGCAGTATGTGTCATCTAGACAGAAGGCTTCTTCCTATAGCATGGAACCTTTTGTGGTTCTAAGCAGTGGTCCCCAATGCAGTGCCCACCGGGCCATTTATGTGCGCCTGCGGAGCAAACTGGGCTGGCCCCACCCCCGGGTGTGCGGCACATGCTGGTGCTGGCCCCGGGCGCGTGGCGCATGCTTGGCTCTGCCCCCAGGCACGTGGCCTGTGAGCGGCCCTGCCCCCAGGCGCTCGGCAGCCCCAAAACATTGGGGACCACTTATAGATATATGGAAGAATGAGTCCATATTTCCATTTCTAGTATGTTTGTGTGATTCCTCTTTATTTTAAACATGCTTCTAGGATATAATATCAATCTAGCGTAAGCCCAGAAAATCAGGAGGCCAGCTGATTTGTCATGGATATTTCAATTACCATAGCTATTTTTTTCAAGAGATGTCCCTGTGGGTGCTCCACTGTAGGTGTCAATGTGCCCCTGTGCCATTGCATCGTGCAGGTGAGGTGCCTGGTTCATACACCTTCAGTGCTTTGATATTGCACATGTGTGCCTTCCCCACTAGATCCTGCTTTACCATTCCCAGGCTGAGGTAAAGCTCTGTGTTCTTCAGATCAAAATCTCTTCTCCTTCGTTACCTATTTTAGTTGGATAAGTAGTTACCTCTTAGTTAAGTTGCTGGTTTTTTCTCCCCAGTTCTTTTAAAAAAAAATTCTCACTCGCTTTTTCCCTCACTATAGCACTATGCTTGGTTCACGGGATTTTAAGCACTGCACAATGTGTAAGGCAAGATACCTGAGGGTTTGGTACAAGTACTGTGAGGTGGATGTTGTGCAGAGGCAAAAAAGTTAATCACCATTAATAACACACATTCTTTAATTTCCCCACTCATCAAACTGAAAACAAACCCTGTAGCAATCTTGTTAAATTTTCATGCATCTCATAAAAATGAACATATTTTTAGCTGGCCAAAATAATTAATTTAAATAGACTGGAAATAGCAGTCAGTGATGGAATATACCACCTGAAGGGCACATTGTGGAATATTAGTTACATAATTGAAAGTTCCTAGCAAACTACTAACAAAGGCAATATAAACTTGATTTCAAATTGATTAATGCAAATAAATACGTTAAATGCTACAGGCCAAATTAATGTTTCAAAATTCTTCAACATTTATTACTGCACTTAATTTTATTTCTTAAACATATTTTGAACTATAGGCAGACAAGAATTTAATTTTTAAGGTTGCTTAATGAGTTATAAAGCATATTTCAAATAAGTGAATATGTAATAAATGCCAAAAGTGATTAATTTTCTGAAATGTAGACAGTTTTTTGTTATATTTTATTCAAAATTTGCCCTATACTTTAAGTAAAAGAAAAGAGTAAAGTGGCTCAACTGAAGTTTGATTTATTTATTAAATCTCGAATTGTTTCCCCATTCTACTGAAATCTTTGGTTGAGAGATTAGAAATAGTCCCTTCTTGTTGCTGTGTTAGGGTTAAGCAACACTTTATTGTAAATCTATTTACTGTGCATGAACTACTGCCTGTTCCTGAGGCTTAGAAGAAAAATACTTAGCCCTCAACCAGATGTCATTCACATAGGTGTGAATCAGGAGTAAGTCCATTGATATTGGTGGAGAAGCAGCTATGACAGTGAGCAAAGAATCAAATGCTACCTTGATACTGCATGCTGTGTACTGTATATATAGACTCTAATTTTAGTTACACTAATTGAAAATCCTATTTCAAGACCTCAAATTGGAATGTCTTTCTGAGTCAAATCAAATTCCTAGTCTGATTCTGTGTTGTCTTCTGCACTCTTGAAAAAGACCCCTCAGCTTGGCTCATG